TCCTCTCTGTGGAATTAAGTCCTCTCTGTGGAAGGAAGTCCTTGTGGAAGGAAGTCCTCTGTGGAAGGAAGTCCTCTCTGTGGAATTAAGTCCTCCCTGTGGAATTAAGTCCTCCCTGTGGAAGGAAGTCCTTGTGGAAGGAAGTCCTCTCTGTGGAAGGAAGTCCTCCCTGTGGAAGGAAGTCCTCTCCTTGGGAGGAAGTCCTCTCTGTGGAAGGAAGTCCTCTCTGTGGAATTAAGTCCTCTCTGTGAAAGGAAGTCCTCTGTGGAAGGAAGTCCTATCTGTGGAAGGAAGTCCTTGTGGAAGGAAGTCCTCTATGTGGAAGGAAGTCCTCCCTGTGGAAGGAAGTCCTCTGTGCTGTCAGTACATAACTAAGTGGAATGGCTCACCAGTTGATGAGGGTGGAACTTCTCTTCCAGCAGACATGTCCGGACCACTCATGGCTCACTGTAGTGTTTGCTTGGCACTTGGTCAGAATTTTTATGAGTGCACAGAATTTACAGTGTGATTATCTGGCCACAAAATACTTTCTGTGCTCCATCCAAGGACATACTGTATCTATGGAAGTGGTTCTGGAAAATTCTTGAAATGACCCTTCTGAGGATTTTATGTCATCTTTGCAGGATCCCATTAAGTCAAAGCCTCTCGAAGTCTTCCGAGCACCTTATAAAGTACCAAAGATGCTGCACAGAGTCAGAAGCCCTGAAGTCCTCAGGCGTCTTGAGCCATGAAGACGGCCACCCTGTGGGACTCTGTCTGGCGACCTGGTTCTGGTGGGGAGTCGAGCCAACTAGAGAGGGCAACCTTGCTTTCTCCTGGGAGGAGCCGCAGAGAAGGCCGAGGTCTTTACACCCATCAGTACAGCCCGGAGCACAGGCCGGCAGAAGCCGCTCACGCCGCGGTCCCCTCACCTGCCCCGCCCGGCCTGCCCCTGCAGGGACCACTCGGCCACTCTCAGGATCCACTGGGCTGAGTGTGGGGGGCTGCTCCAGCTTAGCTCTTCCCAGGCCCTTTCAGCACCCAGAGGTCAGAAGGAGCCTCTGGACGTGTCAGGAGAAGCTGACCAGTAAGGATCTCCCATCTGTCAAGCACACCACGGCAGGGAGAGAGGTTGAGAGGCTGGAACTGAGGGTGGAGTCCAATAGCGACTTTCCCTCTGGCGGAAGAGGGCGATGTGTACTGAGAGTGAATAAAAGTCAGACTCCAGTGAGGATGTGAATGGAGAGCACACGGTGCAGATAGCCGAGGGGGACGGGGAGGCGGGGAAGGGCGTGGGCAGCCAGGGAAAGACGGTGAGGGAGGGTGGGGTGGACTCAGGAAGGAGGGGCAAGCAGAGGGTCCCCTGATGAGGCCACCTTCCACCTGTGGACACAAGCGGGGACCCAGGCAGACGGAAGTTCTGTGCTCGTGCTCTGTGTGGGGGTCCAGCAGAAAAACTAAAACAGCCAAGTGGACAGAGGGCACCAATCAGTAACGGTGAGGAGCACATGGACGGGGCAGGAGACAGGAAAGGAGGAAATTCCAGAGACCACAATAGACCAAAGCTCCCCACTGGACTCCCAGCTCTGGGGCCCTCTCTGCAGAGGAGTCTCTGTCTCTGTCACCTTTGCTCTGAGTCCTGCTCTTCAGTTCTTTGCTGAGCAGAGACAACAAACCCAGCACCCCTGATGGCCACAGGAGGACTTAAAGTCAAGCTTTGGACCAGCGGCCAGAGGCTCCAAGCTGCTCTTCCAGCCCCAGATCACCTTCTTGCTAGAATGTCAGCAAGAGACTCATCTCATGAACACAGTCCACATCCCACTGGGCGGATGAAGTCAGCGAGATGTGGTGACAAACTGTCTATGGTATCGTCATTGCCACTGGTAAACCTGGGACCTGCCTCTTAGACACAGAGATACAAAGAGTAAAGAGTTGTATAAAGAAAAACAGAGTCGCGACCCTAAAAGCAGACCTTGAGCCCTTAGCACCGGGAGGCAGCTCTGCTCTCTCCTGGGGCTGACTCTGCCACTCCGGTCCTACCACTCAGCTGCCCTGCCCTGAGTATGGCGGGGGCCGCCCTGGGCGCTTGGTCTCTGGCTGTGCGCCTCCTGGAGCAAGCTCTGGACACATAATTAGCACCTTGGTGACAGTCTTCCTCCATATTTTCTCACTAAATATTAGGCTAAGAACACGATTCCAATTCCAGTTTACCTCCATAAATTTCAAGTTTTACAACC